AACTTTGCGCCGCGCGCTGCGGGGCGGAGGGAGGCGGTAGCGCCGCAGCCCCCTCCCCGCCCCTCCCCGCCCCCGCGGGCGGCGCAGAGCGGAGCGGGCGCGGAGCGGGCGCGCAGCGCGGCGCAGCGCAGCGCAGCGCGGCGCGGCGGGCGCTATGCCTTTAACGGCGCGCGGGGCAGGCATGCCGAGCGCGTAGTGCGGGAAAGTCGAGGCGGGGTTAAAGTTCAGCTCATGGAGCGGCTCCGCGCTGGCTGCAGTTTGGCAGAGTTGGAAATGTGAAAGCAAGAAGCAGGCTCGGGGCTCCCCCTCCTCTCCTCTCTCTCTCTCTTTTTTTTTCCTCTCTCTCCCTCTCTCCCCCCCTCTCCCCCTCTCTCTCCTCTCTCCCGCACACGCACACCTCCGCCCGCAGCCCCCCGCAGCAGTCATGTATTCTCCGCTCTGTCTCACGCAGGTAAGCGGCCGCGGGGCGCGATGGGGCCGCGCTGCGGGGCCGGGGCCGGGGCACGAACGCGGCCGCTTCGCCGAAACTTCAACTTTGTTGCTTTTCCCCTCTCCCCCCTTTTCCCGCACGGCCATTTGTGTCGGCACATGGCTAATGGCGCCTACTTATTAACGCCGTAATTAAGAGCCGAGGGGCTGCGGGACGCCCCCCGCACGCCGCGCCCCGCCGGGTGCTTGGTCATCCGCGATCGATGCGGCGCCGCCGCCGCTCCCCGCGCCGCTCCGCCGCGACCCCGCACCGCACCGCGGGGCTCCGGGGGGGAGGGGGATCCCCGCCGTCCCGCCGCTCTCCTCCCGCGCTCTCCCCGCGCGATTTCCGCGCGCGACCCCGCCGCGGACCCTCCGCGCTCTTCAGCGCAGGCTGCACCGTCTTCGCGCGGGGGTCGCTCCGACTCGTGCCGTGTCCCCCCCCCCTTCCCGCACCGCTCCCCGCCCGTGGAGCGCCGCCCGCGCAACTTTTGCGCCCCTCGCGTGCGCGGGACGGGCGGCTCGGGCCGGGGGGGGTTCGGCCCGCAGTGCCCCCGGGGTTGCACGGCCGCACGGCGCCCCCCCACACCCCCACCCCGCGCCCTTCTGCAGGACGCTAAATTGCACACCTCCAATTAGCAGGATATAATGGTTTAACGAGGAAACGCTTTGTGGCGGGCTCCTACCCCAGATTATTTCCTCCTGCAGGAGATTTTGACTCCATTATTCTTATTAATTTAATTTGAATTTTATTTTATTTCCTATTTTTTTTGCCGGCGAGAAAGCCTCTCCGGGCGCTTTCCAGCGAGAAAAGGCGACGAAACGCAGCGAGAGGGCGGGAGCCGCCAAACTTTATCCCCTTCCCTTTGCCGGCCCCCCCCCCCCCCCCCCGGCCCCCAGTGCCTGCAGCCGTAGGGCCGGGGCTCAGGGCTGCCCCGCACACCGCAGCCCGACCTGGCACCCACGGCCCCGGCTGCCGCGGGGGCACAGTGCGTCGCCCCACGTGCGGAGCTGGCAGGGCCTGGCTGTGCCATGGGGACACGTAACCCCGACCCACAGGATGCGGCTCTCTATCCCGTTCCCCCCACTGCTTTATTCTTTTTTTTTTTTTTTCTTTTCTTTTCTTTTTTTTTTTCTATTAGAAAATCTTGCATTCTTGTTGCACACTTGGAAAAGTGAGGCGAGGGCGAGAGGCCTCCTGAGGAGCTCCTTCCTTCCCTCCGCGGCCCCGTTGGGTGCTCCCTGTCAATCCCGAAAAGAGTGGGGCAGCCCTTCTCCATGGCTTGGCTATTTTTCCCTTCAGGATTCCTATTTTTCCCTCCAGGATCGATGGGAGCTTTTATCAGTGGGAGTTTGGGAAGGGAGATTTTTTTTTGTGTGCGTCTTTTTTCATTTGGGTGAAGTTTTGGTTCAGATTTAAAGGGAAAGCGGTTCAGAAAGGGAGACACAGACATCAGAGTTGGAGCGCGCCGGTTCCAGCGCTGTACCTGGATGGCACCAGGTTTTGTGTCATCTGTCAGGAAAACCCCAGTGCTGTCCGTGTCTGCAGAGGATCTCGGAAGCGGTTGGGGAACATATGCCCATCTCCTAATAGATTTACAAGCAAACGGATTGTAAAAATATTCACAAGGGTTGCTGCGGCTGGCTTAGTTTCGAGAGGATCCACAGAGATACAAGTGTTTCTCAGGGCTCCTGCAGGTTACCTTGTTTCCAGGCAGTGCTGGGGCTCTAGCAGTGCCTTTTGCCCTCTCGGAGCAGAGCTGCTCAGGGCCGAGGGCCGCGGCCGCCAACTTTGGGCACCGTGCAGCACAACTTTCCTCCCTCACGGCTGCCTGCACGCAGCCCGAGGGCTCAGCACCCGTCCTGCTCACACGCTATGAAAGTTTCCCTTTGGGTGAGTTTGGGGACAGGCAAAGCCCCTCTCCTTTTTGCTCCTTAAACCCTTTCTCTTTCTGCAGCCAGGCTGCGGGCAGCTCTGCACATCTGTTAGCACGCTTGCACTGACACACTTCCGAAACTTTTCTTTTTTTTTTTTTTTTGCTATAATAATGCCCCCAAAATCAATAACGGCGCTGTGCAGACCCGCTCCCCTCCCACCCCACAGTCCTGGCGCTTTGCTCTCTGTGCCGCGGTGCCGGCCGAGCTGCAGGCTGTGCCGTGCCGGGGCTGCGGGTCGCTGTGTGAGCCATTAACCTCTTCTCGCCGCGCACCATTTTGAGCAGCACCCGGAGCCTGGCACGGCCGCTCACCTCCCGCTGCCTCCAACCCCTGCCTTCACACCGCCTTTTTTTTGTTGAATTTTTTTTTTTTCTTTTTTCCCCTGGCTCTTTTCAAGTGGTTGTTGTTTTTTTTTAAATAGATATATATTTTTTCCTGTGTTGCCGCTCCCTCCCCGCTCAGGTTCCCGCTGTAGGAACGGGCTGCAGCGCAGGTTACAGCAGCTCGCTCTTGGATGGCGTCCAGCGTCGAGCCAAAAAAGTCCCGAGCACATGAGATCCGTCAGGACAAAGCGCTGCAGAAAGCAGAAAAGTTGCAATATTTCAGCCCCACCAAGACGTGCTCAGCGAGCGCTCTGCTCGCAGCAGTGCTCCCCGCGGTCCGGCAGCGCTCTGTGTGCACAACCAGGACCCCACAAAGGCCTTTTCCCCCCTAAGAGGGGCAGGAGGAGCAGGAGCTGGCTTTGGGGTTTTGGCAGCTCGCAGGGAGCTGCGGTCCGTCTCCTTCCCTCCCTCGTAGGAGAGACAGAGCAGCTCCGCGTGCGCCTTCGCCCACTTTGTGAATCTGCCGACTGCAAACTCTTGGCAATCTTTATTATTTTTTTTTTTCCTCCCCCCCCAAACTTTATTGAAATTTGAAACGATGATCTCTTCCATCCAGTACAAGACGGGAGAGAGAAAAAAAAAAAAAAAAAAAAAAAAAAAAAAAGGAATGCGTCAATCATCAGAGTGATTTATTTTATTTTACCTGCTTTGGTGTTAATGCTCATCCATCGTCCTGCGGTTCCTGGGCTGGGTGGATGGCTCTGCACGTTCTGTGCTCAAAGTAAAAATGACCACTGTGACACCGCTATGGATTGAAGTATTTACAGCGTAAGGGCCGTCAGAATCAGTGCGGGGGAACCTTGGGGGAAGTCAGTAGGAGCTCCTGAGTTAGGGCAGCGTCTGCTGATGGGTATTTCTGCTACCGAGTGCTCAACTTCTCATCATTATTTGAAAAAAAATAGAACTTCAAATGATGTTATCAGAAGGACGTGATATTTCTGTTTTTATAATGGCATTTACAACCCGAAATGATTTGGGTCGGAAACGCTCCACGCGATCATTTCGGTACTCAAAAGTTAACTAATGTGAAGCCCAGCGCTGCCCTGCGGGATGGGGCAGCAACTCTCCCGTGTGCAGCAGCTGCTGTGCATCCCCGCAGGGCCCAACATGAAGCCTGGAGGCGCCCGGCCCTGCAGCCATAGGATCAGGCCCTGCAGGCAGTGGGATGAGGCTCTATGTGCAGTGGGATCGGGCCCTGCAGCAGTGGGATTGGGCCCTGTGGGCAATGGGATCGGGCCGTGCAGCAGTGGGATCGGCCCGCAGGCGCTGTGACGTGCGCCGCGCTCATTCATTTGGTGTAGGAACTGAGAGTGCGGCCCCAGCGTGGCACAGCCTGGGTCGATCCCTCTGCTGGTTTACGTGGTACTTTTTGAGGACACTGATCTATTTCTGCATAATAGATCTATATCTGTATTTTTTTTACAGAAGTAAAGGGGTCTTTCTTGCATTTTTTCATGGTCAGCAGAACTGTAACTGTGATTACTTTGTGCCCGAGCAGAGGGGATCTGTAGCACATCCTGGCACAGAGCAGTGTCTCTGGATGGCAAAACTAACTTTCCAAGTACGGAGTTTCTTTTTGGGTGTATGAAAATACAGCCTGACACGGGAAAAAAAAAAAAAAAAAAAAAAAAAAAAATTATTGGCGTGTTTGCATGAGTTGTGCCAAGCTTTTCTATCACTGCGCTTTTCAGTTTTTTGGGTCTCCTTTCAGTTTATCAAAACTCTTTGGAATCCTAACATGCCGCAATGTCAGATTAAAATTTTAATTATTTTTTTTTAATGGACTGTAATCCTCACCTTTATTTTATTTTATTTTATTTTATTTTTTTTTTTAATACTATTTGGTGTTTTTTAAGATTTCAGCTGGGCGGCCGCGGCGCTCCGTCCTCCAAGCAGAGCACCGCCGCCGTGTTCGCACTCACGGCTCCACTTGCGCGTTACTGTACAGCGCGCTGCCATTTCCAAGTTTATCTTTGGGAAAGTTTCGCTATACTTCAGACTTCCCCACACAAACAGGGATTGGCATCCGAGCGTTCCGAATTTGCCAAATTGGCGGGCACACGCTGGCGACGCCGCAAGCAGCGGGGTCAGGGAGGGAGCAGAGGGAGATACGCGCTGCGAGCGGCCGACTCCCCGCACCCAGCCGGCCCCGTGCCTTTAACTCCTTCTGCCCTTTTCTCCACCAAACTGGGGCTGGGGGCCCAATCCTGGCCCCGCTTCTCCTTTCAGGGGGTCGGGGCCGCTCGGCTCTCTTCGGGCCTCGCTGTGCTTTGCGTGACACCGACGCTTCTCTGTGACTTTTTCAGGATGAATTTCATCCCTTCATCGAAGCACTTCTGCCTCACGTCCGAGCGTTTGCGTACACATGGTTCAACCTGCAAGCCCGAAAGAGAAAATACTTCAAAAAACATGAGAAACGCATGTCAAAAGAGGAAGAGAGGGCCGTGAAGGACGAACTCTTAAGTGAAAAACCCGAGGTAAAGCAGAAATGGGCGTCCAGACTTCTGGCAAAGCTTCGGAAAGATATCAGGCCTGAATTTCGGGAGGATTTTGTTCTCACAGTCACAGGAAAAAAGCCTCCGTGTTGCGTCCTTTCCAATCCAGACCAGAAGGGCAAGATGAGAAGAATTGACTGCCTTCGCCAGGCAGATAAGGTCTGGAGGTTGGACCTCGTTATGGTGATTTTATTTAAAGGTATTCCGCTCGAAAGTACTGATGGCGAGCGCCTTGTAAAGTCCCCACAGTGCTCTAACCCCGGGCTGTGCGTACAGCCCCACCATATAGGAGTTTCTGTTAAGGAACTCGATTTATATTTGGCATACTTTGTGCACGCCGCAGGTAAGTGCCTTTCTATACCACTTCTCCACCTCGCGCGTCTGCGTCCCGGCGGGTTTGGTGCGGGCGGGAGGGAGCGCGGCCCCAAATCTGCCCTTCTTCACTGGGCACAGCTCTTGTTTTCCTGGGGTTAATGGCAGTTTGGTGTTTGGGGCACTTTGCTCAAGTGTTATCCAGGCTTCTTTTATTTTTCTATTTTTTTTGTGCGGTGGAGGGAACGCGGGGAGAATTCCCAATTTTTTATTTTTATTTTTAATGTTTTACTTCTAAAATTAACTCTGTGCCTGTTATGCATGAAGCGGTTGTAGAGGGTTGGGATACCCGAGGTCAGGGCTACCAAGCATCCTCACCTGGAGAGATGGGAAAGGGAGAGGAACCCCAGTTGGCAGCTGGAAGGTGCAGATAACAAATGTGAGGTTGTCATTTTGGGTAAAAAATTGGGGAATTGAGGCCAAACCTTTTATTTAAAAAAAAGACAACCTTAAAACATCACAGTCTATACACAAAGAATTTGGTCTGTTCTTGAAACGAATTCTTCATTGAATAATACTGCGCCTGGGGAGGGCTGAACTGTTTTTATATGTGATGAAATGGGAAATGCAGGGGTCCCCCACCTGCCTGGGGTTGCCTCAATGTGTGAGAGGGTGAGCAGAGAGCTGGGGTGGAAAATAACATGGCATCGTGTCTCTGATGGGCAATTGTGCTGCAGAAAGACGTGAGCAAGTGCAGTGCTGGGCCCTGGTCGTCCGATACACGATGTATAGGGGATGTGTGTAGGGTGGATATAGGACATGCAGGTTGGCCTGGCTTCAGGCTGGCCTGCAAGTGGAGGGGCTGGGCAGGCGGAGAGAGCAGGGGGCGAGGGCGGGATCATACCCATGCAGACCCCGTTTATATAAATATATAGGAAACATAGCAAATTGCAGCACTGGGAGTTGGTGTTTCCAACACCACGTTATTTTGGAGGGGTGCGTAGGAACTTTTGGCCATTCCAAATTCTCCTGCCATGCCCTTGCAATGCAGCCCACACTGGGGCTGACCGTGTGGCCCTCCTCATGCCATCCCCACAACCAGCACCCAGCCCTGCAGCATGATTGAATCACGCTCACCTTCCCGCCGCCCAAAGGCTGTATTTGCTCTGTGCTTTGTTATGTGGCATGGAGCAGGGATTACCGTCTGCTGTGAACTGAGCAGAGAACAGGGCCAGGGCTCTGCCCCAGGCTTTTAGGTTTTTTTAGGATGCTGAATACTGGTCCCTATTGCATTTCCTAAGCGCAGAGCGGCCTTCTGCGCAGGGCGAGGGTTGCCAGCAGAAAGCAGAGGCTGAGTTCAGCCCGCAGGGAGGATCACAGGGACACAGGACGGGGAGAAAAGGGGAAATCCAGGCTTGGGCGCTGCAAGGGGCCAGAGGTTCTCTTCCTGCTGCAGCAGCCAGGCAAGAGACGCCGTAGAAGTTCAATATTGTGATTAGGGATATAACATCTTATCAGCGTGCTGCTGGCAAACACTACCCTTGATAGCAAACTGATGTGTTTCTACGCTCATCATCAACGGGCAGCGGCCTCACTGATTGTTGGAGCTGCTTGCTGTAGATCGTTGGTGCAGAGCTTGGGACCTCAGTGCTGTGGATTTGCAGGGTCTGTCTGCAGTGAGCAGTGGGTGCACACCGCGCCGTGGTTCCGGCTGCAGCACGCTGTGCTCGTTGTGCTGCGGGTTTGCTGCTGCACCGCCACGGGGACAAAGTGATGCTTAGGATGGATCGCGGGTCGGGCGTCCCCTGTGTCGCTGCACAGAGGTGTGCTGGAAGCTCTCTACCTTTTTTTTCCCCTTTTTTCCTCTCTTTTTTTCACCCCTCCGAGGTATCCCAGCAGTCTTTGTTGCACCTGAACATTGGCCAAGTTGCCAGCCATTGGTTCCCGCAGACCCGCAGTAATGGCAGCTTGTGCCATGTGCGCAACAGGAATGGTACAAAAGGAAAATATTAAGGGTCCTTTGTCTGTAGCTCCATCAGGGCCGCCTCCAGCAATGTATGGACCGGGTAGCTCTCGGGAGGAAGGTGCCAGCACTGATATTAGGTAGGCCGGTCAACTTACATATAGCGGATTTGACAAGCATCTGCTATAGTACAGAAGATTTGTAAACACTAAACAATGTTTTTACCTCCTTAAAAGTTTTGAGAAGTTGCCAGTATTGGCAGGAGGCACAGACTCTGAAACGTGCTTGGAGATATGTGCCAAAACCATTGTGACCTTTTCACCCATGGTGCTTTTTCTTCTCCCTCTCTCTCTTTTTTTTTTTTAACTCTTCTTTTTTTTGAGGGTGCGTTCCCTTCCAAGATGCCTTATTCAAGATGACTTCAGCAGCGAGATGTCCCTCTCCTTCTAAACGTGCACCATAATTATTGCTTTGAATCCATGCTTTTTCTTCAGTAGGCACTATCATCTGTAGGAGAACACATGTGCTCAGATTTAAATAGTGCTTCTCACAAAGCTACTGAAATCAATTATTCCCTTTAAGAACTGGCTAGAAAGAGAAAACAAAAATATGCAAATACACAAACGAGGTGTCTTTTTCGTTAAAAAAAAAAGGAAAGGAGAGGAAAGGAAGAACGGTGTTCTGTGAATTAGAGGTTGACCAAAAATGTATTGAAATTTAGAGTATTGCTCTCAGTTTGCAGTTTCTAATCTGCTTAACTAAAAGCAGGTGGCATTTTCATACCCTAAACTTGGGTTTGCTTTTTAGTTTTCCCTTATTCTGCACTTGTATCAAATGACAAGTTGGAAACCATTGTGGCAAACCGTTTTCTTTGTGGGAGTCAAACAGTAAAGCTAATTTATGGCCAGTCCTTTACCAGATGATCTGTATCAGAATCTGCAATATACTAGGCACGTGGCAAGGTCACAATTTAAGTTGTTAAGGTCACAACCTTAGCCACCAGGCATTTGACCTTTTAGATAAAGTTAACCTTTGTTCATTAGTAGGCACTCAACCGAGAACTTTCAGGAGTTTTTTACTGCTTTGGAGTTCCTTCTGCTAATGTGATCAGATTGGAGGAAAGGCTCGCCATGGAAGTAGTTAAATTCTGTGCAAGGTCCCAGTTCTGCAGGCTCTGGCAGTGGGCAGGGCTGGATGCCGGGCCGGGGAGCGACGCTGCGATGCCCGATTCTGGCTTTTTTGGAGGGCTGCCGTCACTGTCCCAGGCAAGTTGTGCTAGCCAGGTGGTTCTGGGGGAGAAAAGCTTTCGGTCTTTTGGAAGGACATTTAAAAATCTGAAATTTAAGGAAAAGCTGGAGATGGCTGTTTGTTTCAATGAGCTATTTTTTCTGCTTCTCTTAATGTTTAAAATAAGAGCCAGAGAAGATGCAAAAAGTCAGCATTATTTCTGCAACTGCAAGAATTCACTGAGGGTCTAAATGCAGTCCGTGGCCATTGCCTGGGCAGCAGTGTATGGCACACGACCTTGAACTTTAGGTGGACCCATTGGCAGATTTAAAACATTTCTACTTGGAGCACCGCAGAGAGGCCCCAGTCAGAATAAGGCAGAGCCTGGCGAATAAATCAAGGGGCTGCAGATAGCCGAAATGCTGCGGAGGTATCGCTTAGCTCCAAGTCTGAGAGGTACAGCCCGCTTTGCACCGTGATCCTTTAGTACAATTGTTATTGATTGTTGCTGCATTAATCCCGCTAATAGCCGCGGCCGGCCGGCGGTGCGGCGGTGCGAGAGGTGCTCTGACAATGCCGTGCATCACGGAAAGAGCTGCCGCAGCATCTCCAGCTCTGCAAAAGTCTGGCGTTTGGCTGTGCAAAGTATTGCTGGCTCCTATAGGACGCACACCATATTGTTTACTTAATTATGCCATGGCGAAGGCTCGTATTTAATTATTTAGACGACTTCCCCGCTTTGCTGTGATACCACGTTTATTATTTAATTTAAAATCAAAAGGGCCGTGCTACTGTTAGTATTTGATGCATTTTACTTTTGTTTTGGCTACGTTATTGTCATTCCTCCGTACAGTAATCCAGATCGCCGTGATATGCAGATTGGCCAGATGGTCATGTTAACAGATTGAGAACCCACTTCCCACTGCTAAAGAGCAGGTGTAAGATCAGTGGGTTTTTTTTTCCCTTTCCTCCCAAGTTTCAACCAAAATGCTCTTTAGACAGCTCATAACGGTAGTTAAAAAGAGGCACATTTCAAATGGTGTTTGTTCTGTGAAGATAATATGTAATAGACATGTCGTTTTTACATGTATCTGAAGACTTTTAAAGCATCCGTGACATTTCATCTGCATATAAGGCTTTTGAAAACCTAATTCCAATACACGGCTGTTCCAGCGTGTGTCAAAACCAGTCTTTAAAGTTTTGTTTGTGATGTTAATAGACCCTGTGCCTTTCTGCAGAACATGGGGCTTATTGCATTGACTCTTACCAAGCCGCTCAGCCAGCCTTGCAGCCGGTGTTGCGGTGTGCTGGGCTCCCTGTGCACGGCCAGGGGAGATCTGGGGACTCACTGTGTGTTTTTTTCATTCCCATCAGTTTTGGCCGTTCAGTGACATGTATACGTTCAAAGAAAAAAAAGTGAAATGAAGTCCTCTCGTAGTATTTCTGCGCTCGAGGAAGAACAGGAGAAGGCAGATTTTGCATTACTTTAGGCTGGTGAAACGTCCCTGTACGGCAGCAGTGCTGGAAGGCTGCGTGTGTGTCCCACGTGGAAGTGGCTGAGGGCAGCCCCAGCTCCCAAACACGGCCGCGCAGCAATCCCACACCCTGCGTGGCACAGAAAGATATCTCCATCTATCGGCGCTTTCTGTTTTGGGGCACGGGGCGGGCAATTGTGTGGGGCAGGAGGTGACAGGAGCAGGATTTAGGTCGAGACAACTGCGCTCCCCGTGCTGCTGTAACCGAGCCGGTGAGTATCTGTGATAATGCGGACACTAAGTGGTGCGGCACTCGGGACGGCCTGCTCCGTCCCAAAGCCCTGGCAGGAGTTCAGTCATGTGGTT